GCATTTCTAGTTGGTTTTGTCAATGGCATTCACATTTCCACAGCCAGACACCACTTTAAAACAATAGCCAGAAAGGCAAGTCAAAGGAAACGTAAGAGGAGTTGGGACTAATTTGTTACTGCTGGTGAAACAAAAATGCCAAGCACATGGGCTTTTGATCATGAAACAGTAGCACTGTCTTCCTATATCAAAGTTCATTACTTGCCTTCTGATGCAGACACGACTGAAGTCACCTGCCCAGAGGTGGTGTTATTTTTTATACAGTTGCGGCAAAACATAAAACTACTCTTAAAATCCATCAGCGAAGAGTTTCCCAAATGTAAAAATAATTACAGAATCCTACCAAAATTGGAGCCACACTTACTTTTTTTGGTTGTCCAGTGCCTGGTAAAGAATAACTCAGTAAGTTTTCAATGAAGGAATAAATACATTTGAAGACAGATAAAACACCTTTTCTCAAATTGTTGAAATCAGCGGCACTGGCTCAACCATAAAGACATACTGAGCATGTGTTAACTGATACATACTGTGTTAAGCACCAGAATGGAAAGTTTTTAAATAGAAGACAATGACAAGAACAATTCCATTAGTTTTCTGTTATTTTAAGGCTATATCTATATGGTTTTGAATATCCAGATTAAAGATTTATAAAGGAGTTAACCACTTAAGATTTTCAAAACCATTTAGACAAGTGGTATCTCGTAAGTGAAATCTTACAGAAAACTGAGTTTTTCAGGATTCAGTTGGATGACAAAAGTATTCAAATAATGGACACAATGTTAAACATATGAATAATTAGAAATACATTCAACCAAAAAGTCTGCTTGTGTTCTAAATGTGTGGCATCCAGTAAGTAGTCTATAAGAAGCCAACCTTTAAAATCAATGTGTTCATATCTACAAGTTTGAACTAATAAGGGGAACTAATAAGGCAAATAGCAACATGAAGGTGTTTTCAAGACTGTTCTGAAAGTTGGTCACTGAAGGGCCCCAAAATAAAACCAGCAGATGGCTCTGAACACAGAGAGAGAGAGAGAGAGAGAGAGAGAGAGAGAGAGAGAGAGAGAGAGAGGAGAGAGAGAGATGCATACAAATAAAACGGAAGGGAAGACAGAAACGAAGCTAAATAGAGAAGTTACCAGAGGAAAACTATGAGGGAAAAACCATCTGAAAAAGTAGGGCCAAAAGGAGAAGAAATGGCCACAGAGGAGGGCTCTACGTCTGGCGTGAGCAGGCAGGAGAAACAATGACTTAAGCTAGGAGGTAGGAGAAGAGAACAGAAGGTGGGCCACCCAGAATGGAGATGAGGCACTTCCATTCTGCAAAGATGGGCATGTTTGCAGAGGAAAGCAAGAAACATGAACTTTAAAATTCTGCAGACATACGTCCAAATGGCAACAATACACGGGAAAACAAAATGAAAAACTGCGGAGTATTCTCATTGCTTTTAAACTACCCCTGCTATCACGTTTCCCCTCCTAGCCTCTGTTCTTCCCAAGCTCCTAAGTCCAGTGACAATGATCAGAGACTCTGGAATCAAAAGGGCTACGCCGACCTGCAAAACGGGCCAGGGATTCTGCAAACGGAATCCTTGCAGATACCACAGCGCTTCACTCTGGTCTCCAAGGCCATGGCACACCCTAAAAGATTAAAATGCCTTAAGGTAAATGACATTCCCAAATCAAGGTACAGTGTGGAAACAAAGCGAGGGGCAAGGGAGGAAAAGAAAAAAAAATCCTAATAACGTGGCTTCCCAGATTCAACCCACAGCAGCCAACTAGCAACTTCTTAGTACAACAAGGAAAAAAAAAAAGTCATATGCTCTTCTGCACTGAGAGATCACTTCCTTTAGTAGCTTCAGGGCTACTAAAGGAAAAAAGCACTTACTATTACAAAGCAACCCTAAGAAAATATATAATTAATGTAAAATATTCTTATCCTGTACATCCCGCAGAGAAAGACTACAAACAAAAGACGTTTCACTTTTCTAGAGAAGGTAATTATTACTAATGCTGAGGGGAAAAAGAGGAGACAGAAGTTTTAAAGACTGGCTCAGGTATGAAAGAAAAAGTATCAAACCCTCTAACTTCTAGTCCCAGGTTGCAGGACAGGATTCACAGAGCTCTATTTGAGTAAGATCTGGGGATATCGCCCCATTAAAAGGATTAGTGTTACTGCACAAACGTCTAGATAAATTTTATTACCAGTCTGAAATGAGTCCCCTAAAGGCTTTTTAAGACAGTTTTGTATAAATATTTGAAAGTTTGAACAGGCTGAATACTTTCACTCTTGAAACCTAGGTACTATTTCCATTTCCACAGCTATATATGACTGATCTTGTTGAGCATATTACTTTTAAATAACTTTAAGACACGATCTTCGAATACCTTACTCCACAGGCTGCATGTACACGTAAACAGAAGGTGGAAAGTTCTCGGGACTGACAAGTACTCCGGGGTGATGGGCAGTGTGATTCCCTAAGCCTCAAGAATGGCGTTTCGAGTTCAAGGCTGAAGACTTCATGACATGGGCTTAAAAGATATAACTTACCACGTCAAACGGGTTAGCACGGCACCCATTTACTTTAAAATACCCTATCCTTCCAAAAAGCCGCACTTAAGGGTCTAGAGGGCCACAACGTGGCCTTGAGGCCGCAGGTTCCCCACCTCTGCGACAGACGCCCCGACAGGCCATTTTACCTGCGCTGCCAACGTCCCCTGCAGGACGGGGGAAGGCTTCCAGCGCTCCAAGCCGAGTTCGGTATTACGAGAACCCCAAGGGAGCGGAAGGCGACTTCGGGGACCCCTCGGCGTGCTTGGAGAAGAGGCTGGGCCTACCCTCCCAGAGAAGGGTGCCCAGGGCCCCCAGAACAGGAGTGACTAAAGGACCCCCCGCGGAGTCGCCGCGCCAGGCGCTCTCCCATCTCCCGCGACCCCCGACGCACCCGGGCCGCACGAGGCGAGGCGCAGCCCCGAGGACGAGGGTGCGCGGCTGCAGCCCCTGCCCGCGGCCCCCGAACTCTCCGCCTACGAGCGGCGGGAGCGCGGCCTCCAGGCAGCTGCACGCAGCTGGACGCGGCGCTCGGAGCCCCCGTCCCCCTCCGTCCCCGCTGGCCCCGGCGCCCGGGCCGCCCCTGGCGGCGGCCCCTCAGCGGGGCAGGAGACTTGGCAACTTACGGGGGCTGCGCTGGGGCCGCGCCGAGGGGGCGGCGGGGGGCGAGCGGCTGGACCGTGTGGGGCGCCCCGGCTCGGGGAGGCTGGAGGAGCGGCCGCCGCCTGACGGGTCCGCGCGAACGGGAGCGCCCGGCCGCCGCGCTGCAGAAGGCGGGCTGGGCACGTGGGCGCCCCTCTGAGTAGCCGCGCGGGGGGCGGGGCGCGGGGCGAGGGCGGGGCGAGGGGCGGGGCCGCCTCCTCCCCTCCCCTCCCCCGCGCTCCCCGCCGGGCCGCACTGGCCAATCCTCGGGGTGGGCGGCGTCCGGCGCTGCGCCCGGGGTCTGTCGCGGGTCCCCAGCGGGGGCACACTTGGGCGTGCGCTTGCCGGCGCTGGCGGCAGGGCTCCTGCCTGGGAAGCCGCGGAGCAGCCCAGGAGCAGGAGTTCTTGCTTTCCCTGGAGGACCCAAAGCAGACTTCATCTAAGTAGGGTTTTGATCCCGCGTTTCTTTTTCAAGCTGGGAAGAATTTAGAAATAAGAAAATAATAGTAAAATACAATGATAATCATAAATAGAACCCCAGATCGGTGTGCTTTGACAAATAAAACATAAAACTTTATAAATAATGTGCAGTTGCTATTTTGAAAACTCCAGTAAACGTATGAGTAAGTAGTCATGATTATTTAGGGGTGACTTTATGAGAAAATGACATTTGCTATTTCCAGGGGAGTGAGAACAGAAGTTACACAATCAAGGTTTCTCATACTGTGCTATTGTTGACTTTGGGAGTCACTGATAAGATTAAAGTCACAATGTGAAATTCTGTTAATTTTAATCCAAAATGAAGCAAAACACTGACACCGAATTGAAAAGTAAGTGTATATTATTATTTTTGTTTGTCTGAAAGCTCTATCTTATTTTGCTTAATATGGTGCTAATAACTTTGGCAAAGTGCCAGATTTATATTGAGTCAGTATAACACATATAGAGAATGTGATGTTCTGAATCATTCTTAACTTCAAGACACGTTTTCCCAAGAGAATCCAATAGTGTGGGGTTCACTCCAGAAAATGGTACATGTACAAAAATCTCAATTACTGCTTCCAGCGTTCAAGTACCTCAAGAAGCCATCTGTGGATCCCATGAAAGAACTCGAGATTTACAAGAACCCGATTACCAGGGTACTATCTCACAGAGTAAATGTCTTAAGTTATAGAGACTCTATCAATGTAAAACCGACTCCTTATCGAGGGAAATGTGGACTCAATCTAAGCTCCCACTCAATCCCACAGCTCCAAGGCATTGCAGAAGTGGGTGAAGACTCGATACTCAAGACGCTTCATCTAATTTCTAAGGGCGAGGAATCTGATATAAAAATTTTCACCTGGTTTAGAAAAAAAAATGGAGATTCCTAATTTTAAACTTAAGCGATTATTTCCCCACATATTTTTATTTAAACACCCTGTGTCTAAATCTGTGATGAATCTGTGATTAGGTTGGAACACAATGATTTGGGATAAACAAATCTATCTGACGTTTAGAAACTGCCAATTTAGTCAGAATACGATCTTTGATTTATCTACTCTGCCCATCTGAGCACTTCCTGAGATAAGAACATACTACGTCCATGTGCGTGAATAATAATCGCTATTTCATCTCTGAGCAAAAATGACCAAGTCCTTTTTAACAACTTTCTAACAAGATTGCTGAATATCTTGACACACTATTCTTTGACTTACTATATTCGATTTTCTGTTCAAAATTATTGGTTAACCTGGAATCATGTATCACATCTTTGGTTATTTCTCAACTTTTAAAATGTATTTAGATGTAGAAAGAATAGGATGGCTGCAGATTTAGTGTGAATCTCTAAGATGGACTAGGAGAAAAGAAAATACAATAGAATTTTTAGAAATAAAATGTTTGAAACAGGTTAAGCTATTTTGAGTTCATCTTAGTCTGCACTTCCTTTTGCTGCCAGGGATGGAATTAGCATCTTCTTCCCAGTTAGGTAAAATTTTCACCCATCTTCTATCTCACCCTGTCTGGTATTCTGCAATCACTTTTCAATTTCATCTGTCAAGTTTCCTCTCTAGGAATGAAACAGAAAATCCAACTTAGTCATTTTCAACAGACGGAATAACCTAGGTCCTACGTGGTCATCTTCCAAAGATTTCACAAACATTTGTGTGTGTGTGTGAACGCCTAAGGTTTTATGAAATTGCAGGGTATTTCAAGGGACTTTTGTAGTTGAATAAATTCCACACCCTGTCCTCCCACAGTTGCCAAATACAACCCAAAGTAAATCTCATGTCCACGAAAAAGGGACTTAGTTTCTATCAAAACTGAATGAGCTGATTCTTATTAGTTCTAATTTGTGACTCTATTATCCCCAAGCTGTTTCAGCAAAGACAAGCTAAAATCCATTTTTTTCAAATGGTTAGTTACTGGATACTTCCAACTATAATGGAATAGGCTTGAAAGAGAAAAAGTATTGGACCAGAGTTTAGGCCCCTAGAGTACCAAGGACTTTCAGGCCACTGCTGTTCTCCACTTCCCTTTCAAAAATGTTTAAAAAAAAACTAAAGGCAACTTTCCATGGGGCACATTCCATATTTGCCCATCCCTTAAGGTAAGCATCAAAATATTGAAAAAATGGTTGGAAAAAATCCAAAAAGTCCTTATAATGACAAGTTATCTTTTAAATTCATATTTTTCTGCTTGGCTTTTTAACTAAGACCAAATAATGGTTTCGCAATGGTTTTCAGTCCCACATTGCTCTCCCTGCAAATTTCCCTGCATCCTGTCACTTGGCTTCTTTCTGGGCTTTCTTTACATTGGCCTTTAATCAAGAATTGCCCAGAGCTCCACCCGCCCTGTGCTGGCCTCTGTTTCCTTCTGCCAGGATTCTTGCTGGGAATGTATCTGCTGGAAAAAGGCAGCTTTCTCAATCCAAACATCTTCAGTTAGCCTGTTGCTCTAAGGACTGAAAACCAGAAGTTTAGAAGAGAGCTCAGCTAATGTTAATACTCTTTTTTCCTTCAGTCTTGATAAAGGTCCTAATTGCTCCAGAGATCTCTTTGTAACCATATCCAATGGACCTTTTTCAGTTCTCATGTGCCTCAAATTCTCTCCTGCTTTCTGTTCCTTTCTTTCTTGAAATTATCTATCCCTTGGCTTCCATGATCTCTTAGTTTTCCTCCCATCATCCTCTTTGTCCTATTTCCTAACTAAGTACTCTTAAGATTAAATTCTTAAATCATCTTTATCTTCATCAAGCTTCACAATCTTAATTGTTATCCATTTTTAAGGCTCAACCAACTTACTGACATCAAACCCAAAAGCTACTTTCCATGCCTCATCTCTCATCCTTGCTCCAAACTGTGTCTTTGGTGAGATTGTCTTACAACCACCTGAAACTATAGGGTTGAAAACAAATTTCTCTCTTTCTTAGACTGGTGTTTCTCTCCTACTTCCTCCCTACCACTCTCCTGGTATTTCAGGTTTAAAAGTTATTATTTGCTCCTTTCTCTCCTTTACTTTTTTGAGTTCCATCAATCACAAACTTCTGCTGCTATTCTTCCATTTATTCTTTATTGCAGAAATAACCCTATCTCTCGATTTCTGTGAATCCACCTCTGTAATCTCTACTCTCATTATGTTAAGACAAGTCTTCTCAAAACTTATGGTATCTTTTCATTGATTATAGAATCAAACTAAAGTCCTTCCATCATATCAAGTCTCCATCATCTGCATTAGTACATTTTTTTAACTTATCATTTAGACCTGTGCTGTTCAATATGGTAGCCACTAGCAACATGTGGTTCTTGAGGACTTGAGATGTGGCTAGTCCAAATTGAGATGTGCAATTTGGAAAGCTGAAATAGGAGGGTCCCTTGAGCCCAGGAGTTCCAGCCTGGTCAACACAGCAAGACCTCATCTCTACCAAAAATTTAAAAAATTAGCTGGGCATGGTGGCGCATGCCTGTAGTCCCAGCTACTAGGAGGCTGAGGCAGGAGAATTGCTTGAGCACAACAATTAGAGACTGCAGTGAGCTGTGATCACACCACTGCACTACAGCCTGGGTGACAGAATGAAACCCTATCTCAAAAAAAAAAAAAAAAACCTAGAAGAATAGATATTAATGTTAATAGTATTTTTTCCACAATTGTGGAAGAAGGAGAAAGGCATTCTGGGACAGAAGAAGTGAGAATGTGCTGCATAGGCTTGGGATACGAGGTGTAGACCAAATTTGTCAGGGGTGGAGTCGTGCTCTGATATGGTTTGGGTCTGCCCATTTCCTGTGCCTCTACACATGCAATCACCTCCAAAATGGTTTCCCTGCCCCATTCCTTTCTCCCAGGCTTAACCACACTCAAGACCTGAAGCTAAAATATAAAGGTACACTTATGCTGCCAGCCAGATCTTTGCCCTGCTCTGCCCAAGTCTCCAAGAGTGTGCTTCAAATGTATCTTCTCGGACAATGGGACTGCATGGTGTTTGCTCTGAGGAAATATTCTCCCCAACTGGGTAAACCCATGCAAAGAGAGACCAATTGAGAGACCAACCCATGCAAAGAACAGAACTCAGTGTTTATTTAAATTACCATGCACCTGGTTGACCAACCGTTCTGATTTGCCCAGGACTGTCCTATTTTTAGGGCATATTCCAGGAAACACCTCAGTCTTTGGGAAACTGGGATGGCTGGTCTACCTTGCTTACTGTCATGTTTCAAACTCTGATTTTGTTTTTTCATTTCTAGACAACAGCCTCTTGCTAATTTGATATCTATGACAAAATGACAGAGACAGTGTTATTATGTTAAAAAGGAATGTGGTTGCTCTCTCTGGCCACCTCAGCACTGGCTTGACAATGTTTTTTCTTTTCTTTTTTTTTTTTTTGAGACAGAGTCTCGCTTTGTTGTCCTGGCTAGAGTGAGTGCTGTGGCATCAGCCTAGCTCACAGCAACCTCAAACTCCTGGGCTCAAGCAATTCTTCTGCCTCAGCCTCCCGAGTAGCTGGGACTATAGGCATGCACCACCATGCCCGACTAATTTTTTCTATATATATATATTTTTAGTTGTCCAGATCATTTCTTTCTATTTTTTGGTAGAGACAGGGGTCTCGCTCTTGCTCAGGCTGGTCTCGA